TGGCCCTTGACTCACTTGACCTCTGTGGGTGACCCTGGCCTCACTTGACCTCTGAGAACTGCCCTGGCTTCACCTGACCTCTGTGAGTATCTCTTGTGTCAATTGACCTCTGAAAATGACCCTGGCCTCACTAGATGTCCGATAGTGATCCTGTTCTCACTTGATCTCAGAGAATGACCCTGCTCTCACTTTACCTCTGTAAGTGGCCCTGGTCTCTCTTGACCTCTGAGAACGGCCCTGGCTTCCCCTGACCTCTGAAAGTGGCTCTGGTGTCACTTGGCCTCTGAAAATGACCCTGGCCTCTCTTGACGTCCGAGAGTGATCCTGTTCTCTCTTGATCTCAGAGAATGACCCTGCTCTCACTTTAAATATGTGAGTGGCCCTGGTCTCACTTGATTTCTAAGAACGGCCCTGGCTTCACCTGACCTATGAAAGTGGCTCTGTTCTCACTTGACCTCTGAGAAAGACCCTGGCCTCACTTCACCTCTGAGGGTGACCCTGGTCTCAGTTGGCCTCTGAGAGTGACCCTGGCCTCACTTGACCTGTGGCAGTGCCCCTGGTCTCACTTGATCTCTGAGAACGACGTCTGTCTCACTTGACCTCTGAGAAAAACCTTGACCTCACTTGACCACTGAGTGTCCCTGGCCTCACTTGACCTCTGAGAATTACCGTGGTCTCACTTGACCTCCGTGAGTGACCCTGACCTCACTTGACCTCTGAGAGTGACCCAGGCGTCACTTGACCTCTGAGAGTGACCCTGGCCTCACTTGACCTGTGAGAGTGACCCTTTCCTCACTTTACCTCTTAGAGTGGCCCTGGCCTCACTTGACCACTGAGAGGGACCATGGCATCACTTGACCTCTGAGAGTGACCCTGGCCTCACTTTACCTTTGAAAATGACCCTTGCCTCACTTGACCTCTGAGAAGGTCCATGGCCTCACTTGACCTCTGACAGTGACCCTGGCCTCACTTGATCTATTAGAATGACTTTAGTCTCTTCACCTTAGAGAATGACCCTGATCTCACTTGACCTCTGAGAGTGACTCTGGCCATTCTTAACCTCTGAGAGTAACCCTGGCCTCACTTGACCTCTGAGAGTGACCATGGCATCACTTGACCTCAGAGAGTGGCCCTGGCTTCACTTGACCTCTGAGAGTGACCCTGTCATCACTTGACCTCTGAAAATGGCCATGACCTCACCTTTCGTCTGTGAATGGCCGTGGTCTCACTTGACCTCTGAGATCGGCCCTGGATTCACCTGTCCTCTGAAAGTGGCTCTGTTCTCACTTGACCTCTGAGAAAGACCCTGGTCTCACTTCACTTCTTAAGGTGAGCCTGGTCTCAGTTGACCTCTGTGAGTGACTCTGGTCTCACTTGATCTCTGAGGGTGGCCCTGGCCTCACTTGACCTCTGAGAATGACCCTGGCCTCACTTGACCTCTGAGAGTGACCCTCACCTCACTTGACCTCTGAGAATGACCCTGGCCTGACTTGACCTCTGAGAATACCTTGGTCTCACTTGACGTCTGAGAATGACCCTGGCTTCTCTTTATCTCTGAGAATGACCCTGTCCTCTCTTGTCCTCTGAGAGTGACCTTAGTCTGATTTTACCTCTGAGAATGACCAAGGCCTCACTTGACCTCTATCTGTGACCTTGGCCTCACTTGATCTCTGAGAATGGCCATTGTGTCATTTGACCTCTGAGAGTGGACCTGGCCTCACTTGATCTCTGAGAAGGACCCTGGTTTCATCTGACCTCTGAGAGTGACCCTGTTCTCTCTTGTCCTCCGAGAATGATTCTGGTCTCACTTGACCTCTGAGAATGACCCTGGCCTCACTTTACCTGTGAGATTGACATTGGTCTCATTTGACCTTCGAGAATGACCCTGGTCTCATCTGATCTCTGAGAATGACGCTGGGCTCACTTGACCTCTGAGAATGATGCTGGGCTCAATTGATCTCTCAGAATGACGCTGGTCTCACTTGATCTCTCAGAATGATCCTGGCCTCACTTGACCTCTGAGAGTGACCCGGGCCTCACATGACCTTTGAGAGTGACCCTGGCCTCACTTGGCCTTTGAGAGTGACCCTGGCCTCACGTGACCTCTGAGAGTGACCCTTGCCTCACTTGACTTCTGAGAGTGACCATGGCATCACTTGACCTTTGAGAGTGACCCTGGCCTCACTTGACCTCTGAGAGTGACCCTGGCCTCACTTGACCACTGAGAGGGCATGGCTCTGTTATCATTTGGGCCCTGCATTTGCTTTTACAGTTTTGGAAAATCCTCTACACGCTTGTATGTCCCTAAGGTTTCATCTTTCTATAGTTAATTTCCTTTTGTTCCCATGGTGAATTATAGGTAGTCACATTAGAATCTTCACCACAAATTATACAGTTCATACGATGTTGAATTTACAGTTTGGACCATTGATATTGTTCAGTTCACTCCCAGGTTCATTGATATTGTTCAGCTCACTGTCAAGTTCATTGGTATTCTTCAGTTCACTGTTAGGTTCATTGGTATTGTTCAGCTCATTGTTAGGTTCATTAATATTGTTCAGTTTACTGTTAGGTTCATTGATGTTGTTCAGTTCACTGTCAGGTTTATTGATAATGTTCAGTTCACTGTCAGGTTCATTGATTGTTCAGTTCACTGTCAGGTTCATTGATGTTGTTCAGTCACTGTTAGGTTCATTGATAATGTTCATTCACTGTTAATTTTATTGGTATTGTTCAGTTCAATGTTAGGTTCATTAATATTGTTCAGCTTACTGTTAGGTTCATTGATATTGTTCAGTTTACTGTTAAGTTCATTGGTATTGTTCAGTTCACTGTTAGGTTCATTAATATTGTTCAGTTACTGTTAGGTTCATTGATATTGTTTATTATATTTAGGATTTATACAACCCGTTAGTTATTTACAACACAATGATATTCATAATTATCCAGGGGCATCCACAACTATTAGTCCTCCTACAACACAAATACTTTCACTGTCCATCCAGGTCCCTCCACAACTATTAGGGCCCTCCTACAACACAACATACTACACTGTCCATCCAGGTGGCATCCCCACAACTATTAGTCCTTCCTACAACACAACATACTACACTGGGCCATCCAGGGGGCATCCACAACTATTGCCTCCTACAACACAACATACTACACTGTCCATCCCAGGTGGCATCCACAACATTAAAATCTAAACCAAATACACATGTCCTCCTCATCCCCAAAAATTAACTCCACAACAAACATTCTAAAAACTGTCCATCCAGGGGGCAAACCACAACTATTAGTACCTCCTACAACACAACATACTACACTGTCCATCCAGGTGGCATCCACAACTATTAGTACCTTCCTACAACACAACATACAAACCCGTCCATCCAGGTGGCATCCACAACTATCAGTGTCTCCTACAACATAACATTCTACACTGTCCATCCAGGTGGCATCCACAACTATCAGTGTCTCCTACAACACTAACCCCTACTACATGGGCCACCAGGTGCATCCAAACTATCGGTCTCCTACAACATAACATTCTACACGTCCATCCAAGGTGGCATCCCAACTACAGTGTCTCCTACAACATAACATTCTAAAACGTCCCTCCAGTGGCATCCACAATATCAGTGTCTCCTACAACATAACATTTTACAACTGTCCATCCAGGTGGGATCCACAACTATTAGTACCTCCTACAACACAACAACTACACTGTCCATCCAGGTGGCATCCACAACTATTAGTACCTCCTACAACACAACATACTACACTGTCCATCCAGGTGGCATCCACAACTATTAGTACCTCCTACAACACAACATACTACACTGTCCATCCAGGTGGCATCCACAACTATTAGTGTCTCCTACAACATAACATTCTACACTGTCCGTCCAGGTGGCATCCACAACTATCAGTGTCTCCTACAACACAACATACTACACTGTCCATCCAGGTGGCATCCACAACTATCAGTGTCTCCTACAACATAACATTCTACACTGTCCATCCAGGTGGCATCCACAACTTATCAGTGTCTCCTACAACATAACATTCTACACTGTCCATCCAGGTGGCATCCACAACTATCAGTGTCTCCTACAACATAACATTCTACACTGTCCATCCAGGTGGCATCCACAACTATTAGTACCTCCTACAACACAACATACTACACTGTCCATCCAGGTGTCATCCACAACTATCAGTGTCTCCTACAACACAACATACTACACTGTCCATCCAGGTGGCATCCACAACTATCAGTGTCTCCTACAACACAACATACTGCTACACTGTCCATCCACAATCAACATCTACAAAGCAGCTGCACAGAAATATTATAAAGTTAGAGAAAGTAAAATAAGAAATTGGTTTATGAGTAGTACAGCATTTCCAGAAAGGGACCAGATGACGATAAAGAGTATAAGAAAGTGGAAGATAAATAGTCTTGTTGATAGGGAAACAGTGGAGTTTCCAGGTGATGGAAGAGTACAACAGTGAATTCATTGGTGACAATGAACTTAACAGTAAATTCAATGATAACAATAAACCTGTTAGAAATTGTGGAGTATTTTTTCACGAGAATGCTCAGTGTCTCAGCTCCCCAAGTAACTCCAGGACCTTGGATCAGGAACATATGTTTCTTGTATATTATGAAAATTTACGTCAGCAAAATTGGCTAATTTAGTGGACTGTATAATTATCAAGAAGTTATGTAGACATGAAGGCTTTAAGTATTTCATTTTTCTATTATTCATCAATTATTAAACACATTATTTCAAGTGAGTGAAGAGCATATATTATTACTTACCAAGTTATTACCTTAACGTCTCCAACAAGAATAACAACCAGAAAACTGGTCAACATCCAGCAACCTTACCTCTTGGCAATATAAACACAAATGCAGTATAATGTGATCCTTTATTGACTACGTTTCGCCCACACAGTGGGCTTTTTCAAGTCACAGACAGAACTACCTGGGGTGGAAGGAACGCGAGTATTTATAGTCCGGCTGAGGTCTGCTGCATCTGATGATGTACCGAGTTGGGTTGTAGAGTCTAAAAACTTGGGTAGCTTGGAAAGGAGACTGGACAAGTTTGTGAGCAGACCTTCTACAGTGTTCTTATGTGGGATAGCGATGAAGAAGTTTCTTGGCAAGTGGTTCAGCTATGTTATAGAAGCCACTATTCTGGTTGAAGTTGTCGGATATAGAAATAAGTGATGATTCCAGGATTCTTCGGTATTGAGTGTTGTCTTCTGTGGCGATAAGTCTTGAGTTTCTGTAGTTTATCAAGTGGTTGTGTGAATTACGGTGTTGTACGCAGGCATTCCTTGTGTCGTCAGACCTGCTTGCGTATTGGTGTTCTGAAATACGTGTTTGGAGGTCCCTTGATGTTTCGCCCACGTATAACTTGTTGCAGTCATTACAAGGGATTATGTATACCCCTGCAGAGGATGGGTATACATAATCCCTTGTAATGACTGCAACAAGTTATACGTGGGCGAAACATCAAGGGACCTCCAAACACGTATTTCAGAACACCAATACGCAAGCAGGTCTGACGACACAAGGAATGCCTGCGTACAACACCGTAATTCACACAACCACTTGATAAACTACAGAAACTCAAGACTTATCGCCACAGAAGACAACACTCAATACCGAAGAATCCTGGAATCATCACTTATTTCTATATCCGACAACTTCAACCAGAATAGTGGCTTCTATAACATAGCTGAACCACTTGCCAAGAAACTTCTTCATCGCTATCCCACATAAGAACACTGTAGAAGGTCTGCTCACAAACTTGTCCAGTCTCCTTTCCAAGCTACCCAAGTTTTTAGACTCTACAACCCAACTCGGTACATCATCAGATGCAGCAGACCTCAGCCGGACTATAAATACTCGCGTTCCTTCCACCCCAGGTAGTTCTGTCTGTGACTTGAAAAAGCCCACTGTGTGGGCGAAACGTAGTCAATAAAGGATCACATTATACTGCATTTGTGTTTATATTGCCATTGTGTCGGTATTTTATACCATTTATTTCCAACCTTACCTCTTGTGTTGTTTATAATTCTCACTGCGAGACTTACATTAACAACTGGATGATACATGTGGTAGACTGTGTCATTCACACTGGGAGACGAACATTAACAACTGGATGATACATGTGGTAGACTATGTGTCATCCTGAACAACATTAAACTGTGAACGTGGTAGACTATTGCATCCACGAGACGACATTAAAACTGGATGATACATGTGGTAGACTATGTGTCATTCACACTGGGAGACGAACATTAATAACTGGATGATACATGTGGTAGACTATGTGTCATTCACACTGGGAGACGAACATTAACAACTGGATGATACATGTGGTAGACTATGTGTCATTCACACTGTGAGACGAACATTAATAACTGGATGATATACATGGTAGACTATCATTCCATCCAGCTACCGCGTTCTGTTTTCCATCCATAACATCCTTTTTCTCCCATTTTATTATATATCTAGACAATTCCAAATCTATTTCCTCTTCACTTGTATTGAAAAAATTCGCCGATAATATTTCTATTGGCCACTATTAAATTTGAAAAATATTAACAAAGTCGCCATCTTATCTGCTTCCCATAAAGCCATCTTTGTTTCCTTCTGGTTCTCCTATTTTGTGCACATAATTTTTATTTAAATTTAGTGATATTTCTAGGTGCGTAATAAATTTTTCCTTATCAGACAATTAATTACTTCACTATGACAATAAATCCACTTTACTTAATTAACTTATAAGGTAATTATAGGGGATTTGTTGATTATTCTGTGACTTATCGCCTTTTAAAATTCACTTTAGCATTACACACCTACATTATTATACAAACATTATTATACCTATCAATTATTAGATACAAGTCATTGGAAAATTATCAAAATTATCCACATGACCTAACAGTGAACTGAACAATATCAATGAACATAACAGTGAACTGAACAATATCAATGAACCTAACAGTGAACTGAACAATATCAATGAACCTAACAGTGAACTGAACAATATCAATGAACCTAACAGTGAACTGAACAATATCAATGAACCTAACAGTGAACTGAACAATACCAATGAACCTAACAGTGAACTGAACAATATCAATGAACCTAACAGTGAACAGAACAATATCAATGAACCTAACAGTGAACTGAACAATATCAATGAACCTAACAGTGAACTGAACAATATCAATGAACCTAACAGTAAACTGAACAATATCAATGAACCTAACAGTAAACTGAACAATATCAATGAACCTAACAGTGAACTGAGCAATATCAATGAACCTAACAGTGAACTGAACAATATCAATAAATATAAGAGTGAACTGAACAATATCAATGAACCTAAGAATGAACTGAACAATAACAATGAACTTAAGAGTGAACTGAACAATATCAATGAACCTGACAGTGAACTGAACAATAACAATGAACTTAAGAGTGAACTGAACAATATCAGTGAACCTAACAGTAAATTGAACAATATCAATGAACATAACAGTGAACTGAACAATATCAATGAACCTAACAGTGAAATGAAAGATGTCAATGAACCTAACAGTGAACTGAACTGAACAATATCAATGAACCTAACAGTGAACTGAACAATATCAATGAACCTAACAGTGAACTTAACAATATCAATGAACCTAACAGTGAACTTAACAATATCAATGAACCTAACAGTGAACTGAACAATATCAGTGAACCTGTAATAAAGTTGGTAGAATTACCGACAATATGTAAAGTAAAAGGACACAAGTGCAACTAATGTGACATTTATTGTGGCAACGTTTCGCTCTCCAGGAGCTTTATCAAGCCATTACAAACAATACATGGACACAGGCTAACACCAGAGTCGCCATCGCTTCTAGCACTTCAATAAAGGATCTAACCAGGACAAAATCCAAGCACCACGAACCAGTCAATGCAGGAGTTTACACTATACCCTGTGGAGGCTGCGACAAGATTTACGTAGGTGAAACAGCAAGAAACCTCGACACCCGCCTCAATGAACACATTTACGCATGTAGGAACGATAACTTGAACAACGCCTGTGTACAACACCTAAATTCCACAAATCATCTCATGAAATTCAGAGACGCCAATTAGTGATCAAAGAAACTAATTTCCACAGACGCAAGTGCCTCGAATCAGCACTGATCGCTGTTTCGAATACAATTAAACAAAACAACGGCAGCTTCACCATCTCCGAAGTCTTAGCAAGAATTCTCCTGAAAACAGTAAACCCTGCAATCACATAGTCTCTTCTGTTATACTACACAAAGCACATTACAGAGAGTGAACACTGAAACAAGCTGCCTCTTTCCAAACCATACCCCCGGCCGGGATTGAACCCGCGGTCATAGAGTCTCAAAACTCCAGCCCGTCTACATTTGTCCAACCTATATTTTTATGTTACCAATTAATAGCTTTTAAATCCTTTTACTCAAGTACGAATTAATTGCTCTACCATATTGTATTACTTTTGTCACAACTACTACTACTACTACTACTACTACTACTGCTACTACTACTACTACTACTACTACTACTACTACTACTACTACTACTACTACTACTACTACTACTACTACTACCACTAATGAACATCGAAATGGTACCTCACTAGTATTGCACCTCTCTCTGAGCCTTTATATACCCTCTGTGTCCATGTATTGTTTGTAATGGCTTGATAAAGCTCCTGGAGAGCGAAACGTTGCCACAATAAATGTCACATTAGTTGCACTTGTGTCCTTTTACTTTACATCAACGAACCTAACAGTAAACTGAACAATATTAATGAACCTAACAGTGAACTGAACAATATTAATGAGCCTAACAGTGTACTGAAGAATACAAATGTTGTATTGTAGGAGGCACTGATAGTTGTGGATGACAGTGTAGTATGTTGTGTTGTAAGAGACACTGATAGTTGTGGATGACACCTGAATGGACAGTGTACTATGTTGTGCTATAGGAGGCACTGATAGTTGTGGATGACACCTGGATGGACAGTGTAGTATATTGTGTTGTAGGAGAGACACTGATAGTTGTGGATGCCACCTGGATGGACAGTGTAGTATATTGTGTTGTAGGAGACAATGATAGTTGTGGATGTCACCTGGATGGACAGTGTAGTATATTGTGTTGTAGGAGGCACTGATAGTTGTGGATGTCACCTGGATGGACAGTGTAGTATATTGTGTTGTAGGAGACACTGATAGTTGTGGATGCCACCTGGATGGACAGTGTAGTATGTTGTGTTGTAGGAGACAATGATAGTTGTGGATGACACCTTGATGGACAGTGTAGTATGTTGTGTTGTAAGAGACACTGTTAGTTCTGGATGACACCTGGATGGACAGTGACGTATGTTGTGTTGTAGGAGACACTATTAGTTGTGGATGACACCTGGATGTTCAGTGTAGTATGTTTTGTTGTAGGAGACACTGATAGTTGGGGATGCCACCTGGATGGACAGTGTTGTATGTTGTGTTGTAGGAGACACTGTTAGTTGTGGATGACACCTGGATGGACAGTGTAGTAAGTTGTGTCGTAGGAGACACTGATAATTGTGGATGACACCTGGATGGAGAGTGTAGTATATTGTGTTGTAGGAGCCACTGATAGTTGTGGAGGACACCTGGATGGACCGTGTAGTATGTTGTGTTGTAGGAGACACTGATAGTTGTGGATGACACCTGGATGGACAGTGTAGTATGTTGTGTTGTAGGAGACACTGATAGTTGCGGATGTCACCTGGATGGACAGTGTAGTATGTTGTGTTGTAGGAGACACTGATAGTTGTGGATGACACCTGGATGGACAGTGTAGTATGTTGTGTTGTAGCAGACACTGATAGTTGTGGATGACACCTGGATGGACAGTGTAGTATGTTGTGTTGAAGGAGACACTGATAGTTGTGGATGACACCTGGATGGACAGTGTAGTATGTTGTGTTGTAGGAGACACTGATAGTTGCGGATGTCACCTGGATGGACAGTGTAGTATGTTGTGTTGTAGGAGACACTGATAGTTGTGGATGACACCTGGATGGACAGTGTAGTATGTTGTGTTGTAGGAGACACTGATAGTTGTGGATGACACCTGGATGGACAGTGTAGTATGTTGTGTTGAAGGAGACACTGATAGTTGTGGATGACACCTGGATGGACAGTGTAGTATGTTGTGTTGTAGGAGACACTGATAGTTGTGGATGACACCTGGATGGACAGTGTAGCATATTGTGTTGTAGGAGACACTGATAGTTGTGGATGACACCTGGATGGACAGTGTAGCATGTTGTGTTGTAGGAGACACTGATAGTTGTGGATGGTATCTGGATGAGTAGCGGTATTTGCAGGTACTATGGTAGTGGAAGAATTGTTTTAGCAAAGATAGAAACAAAGATTATAGAGTGGTGAAAAATAGTTTAGTAAATTCTTAGGCAGGATAAGCGAATTAACATATTTTTTTAATGCATCAATTTTAACAAGATTAGGTTAGGTTGGAAGGTTAGTTTTAGTGCAGAATATAAAAGTGTTTACCAAAAATTTGCATAACTATAATAAATCTTGTTTGAAGAAGCTGGTAAAACTTAGGTGATCCATTGTCCTTAAACAGAAAAAAAACGTAAAAAAGCTACACTTGAATACAAAATATCAGAAGAATAACGAGAACTGACCAAGGATTACAAGTGTGGGTGTTTTTGGACGGTTCTCCTCCCACTCTGCCATCTTATTCGGCAGCTTCTTCAGCAATTTGTCAAAGTTGTAGTTCATTCGAAAGTTGATTTTCACATCGCGCATCTGAATGTCTTGCCATAATTTATCCCCATGCAGAAATGTCTCAAGCTCGGTTCCATTCAACCATTCGCCCTGTGTGTGCAAACAATTTTGTTAAAATTATCTGCATTGATTTCTGCAAATGCATTAAACAATTCTGTAAATCAGGGAGTGAAAATTACTCACTGCATTTAGTCGGTACTGGAGGGTGGGGCTCCTGAATCTTGTGAGAAATGAAGCGAAGAGGTAACGCATGTGAGAATCACCAAATATTGACCATAGTTCACTTCTGCCAGCTGTTCCACCACCACCTGCAGCGTTACCACCAACAACAGCACCATCTTTAGCACCAGTACTATTGCTTCTGTAAAAATGAAGATTTTTTTTTTGCCATGGTATTTCGATTAGAGTTTTAATCTAAAAAGTTTCAGTCCCGAATATTTTTAAATATTCCTACTCTTGTAATGCTACCCTGTGACATCTTTATCCAGGGCGTTTTAGTATAAATATGTATATACGCTACCTAATGCAGATTCAGGGCCCTCAGTTTGTCCTCATAGGGAAGATTTCTGATACATGGGATCAACCTTATTATTCTTCTCTGCACATTTTCCAGTACATTTATCTCCATTCTGTAATACGGTGACCACAACTGTGCAGCATAATCTAAATGAGGCCTAACAAAGGATATATAAAGTTGAAGAACAACCCGAGGCCTCCTATTAGTTATGCTTCTTGATATGAAGCCAAGAATTCTGCTAGCTTTATTGCGAACATTTCAGCACAGTTGTCTTAGTTTCAGATTACTGCTAACCAGAACTCCTAAATCTTTTTCGCAATCAGTAATATTAAGATTTACGTTATTTAGTTTATATGTGGCATAGTTATTTTCCTGTCCAATGTTCAGAACTTTGCATTTATCTATTTTAAATTGTATCTGCCACTTCTCCGGCCACTGCATCTGACTATTCAAATCTTCCTGGAGTGCTCTAATGTCCTAATTAGAATGAATTCGACGACCTATTTTGGTGTCATCAGCAAAGTTGCTTATGTCGTTATTTATTCCTTCATTTATGTCGTTTGTGTAAATTGTGAACTAAATAGGGCCCAACAATGACACCTGTGGAACACCGCTTGTGACGTGCCCTCAGTAAAAGACAAACATAGAACAGTGGAAAGACTATCTCAGAGCATTGGAAACACTAAGAGTTTTCCAGCCAGATTCAGACTTGGGAGAACGGCGTGGAGAGAGAGAGTCGAATATAGGCAGTAACATGAGTCTTATGCCTGTACCCGACGATGCCTGAAACATTCACCTACCAACTTTAAATTGTAAGTCTAATTTAGTGATGAAACCTCTATAGACTAATAATATACCACATCCTAAAAGAGTTTAAGCTAAGTTATACATAGAGTAATTTAGCTTAGCATCTACGATTACTTTTATCCCAGCTTACACGACTTACCTTACACAAGGCTAGTACAATGCAGAACATTAATTAATACTCGCTAATTACATTATAACTTGAATGAGGCTACTCTTAGTTATCATTATGTAACGACTCAGAAAATCTTTTTCTGAGATATGGTATAGTGATACCGACAAGGACCCCAATGGAAATAAGTCACTCTGACTTTTTTGGTTTATCCCAGGTTCTCTACACATATGCTGCTATGTATGATAATTCTATGTAACTGTATTTGTGTATACCTGAATAAACTTACTTACTTACTTAAGATGGAAACTTCTTGAACTATGAACTCCACAGTAGCATCTCGAATTGTGAACTACACAGTAGCACCTTGAATTGTGAACTACATGGGAGTTAAAAAAATAACAAAAAAAGGCACAATACCGTGACTGGAGCGATACACAAATAACCCGCACATAGAAGAGAGAAGCTTACGACTACGTTTTGGTCGGACTTGGACCATTTACAAAGTCACACTAACCAGAAGTGGAGCAGGACGGCTATATATAGGCAGGAAGAGGTAGTGGTGGTAGTAGCAGTAGCAGCAGCAGCAGCAGTAGTAGTAGTAGTAGTAGTAATAGTAGTAGTAGTAGTAGTAGTAATAGTAGTAGTAGTAGTAGTAGTAGTAGTAGTAGTAGTAATAGTAGTAGTAGTAGTAGTAGTATTGGTATTGGTAGTAGTAGCAGTGGGGAATAAAGAAGGAGGAGCCAGTCAAATACAAAGAATGGGGAGCACTGCAAGGGAGCTAGGTGCCCACAGAGGGAGAGCAAGTACACAGAGGTGGGGTGAAGGGGAAGTAATGAAATAAATAATGAAGGAACAGAAACGCAAGACAGAAGAAAGAAGGACAACCCAGAGGAGACAAAAAAAAAACTCACTCCCTTTCTTCGTACTTTTTCTCCTGCCCACCTCCGTCACTCTCAATACTTCGTTGAACGGGTTCGCTCTCTCCCGACCTGTAAGACGCTTAGTCTTGACATTGAGTCCCTCTTCACCAATGTCCCTCTCGATGATGTCCTTGATTTTCTTAGAGAGAAGGCCCGTGAAGGGTTTCTAAATCTCCCTATACCTATTGATGTCTTGATCTTATCCGCCTCTGTGTGGACTCTAATTCCTTTTCTTTTCAAGGGAAACATTCTCAAACCTTCGGTGTCGCTATGGGTTCTCCTCTCTCTCCTGTCTTTGCTAATCTTTACATGGAATACTTCTAGACTGTTCTTCTTCCTACCATCGATGTGCGCCCTTCACTCTGACTCCGCTATGTAGATGCTCTGTGGCCTCGTGACTCCAGTCTCTTCCAACCTTTTCTTGAAGCTCTTAATAATCTTGCCCCTTCCATTAAGTTTAAAGCTGAATGGGAATCTAATTCCTTGCTTCCATTCCTTGATATTCATGTCCACCGCTCAGACAGGTTTTTTTTCCGTTTACCACAAACTTATGCACAGTGGCATGTACATTCACTACTTTTCCTATCATGCTTCCCCTGTCAAGAAAAGTGTTCTTATCTCCCTCTTTCTCCGTGCCCTCCGCATCTGTGACCCTCAGTTCCTTCCAGCAGAAATTTCCACTCTTCATAATTCGTTTTCCCGTCTTGGCTACCCTTCCCATTTCATAGACTCTGCCCTCTCACGTGCTAAACGTAATTTTTTCTCTCCCAAACTCTCTACTTCTGGGAACTCTCCTGTCCTCTGCCTTCCTTACATTTCCGGTCTTTCTAATCTCAACAGTTCTCTCCGTCCCTTAGACATCAAGCTTACTTTCCGCCAGACTAACACTCTTCGCACTATTCTCGTTCATACCTCTCCTCCCTCTACAGATGTTCCTGGTGTCTACTCTATTTCTTGCTCCTCCTGTCCTCTTCAATACTTTGGAGAAACTGGTCGATCTCTTTCTGACAAACTTAGGGAACACAAAAATAGTGTTAGGCTTGTCGACACTAACAATGCTCTGTTCTGTCACGTCAGAGATCACAGTCATCCTATTGACTGGTCTTCTGATAAAACTGTCTTCCCTACTTCCAACTTCAATAGTCGCCGTCTGGTTGAATTCTCCCTAATACACAACTTTCCTTGTATGAATCTTAGTCCTGGCTTCGTCTCTGTAGATGCCTTCCTCTTCCACTACATTGTAAAATGCTCCTAACTTCAGAACACCCGTGACTTAACCTGATTCCTCGTTTTTTCTTTTTCTCCTTCTTCTCCTTTCCTATTTCCTTTTTTTTCTCCCCTGGGTTCTTTCTTTCTTCTGTCTTGTGTTTCTGTTCCTTCATTATTTATTTCATTACTTCCCCTTCCCCCCACCTCTGTGTACTTGCTCTCCCTCTGTGGGCACCCAGCTCCCTTGCAGTGCTCCCCTTTCTTTGTATTTGACTGGCTCCTCCTCCTTTAGTCTCCACTACTACTACTACCACCACCACTACTACTACTACTACTACTACTACTACTACTACTACTACTACTACTACTACTACTACTACTACTACTACTACCACCACTACCTCTTCCTGCCTATATATTCCCGTCCTTCTCCACTTCTCGTTAGTGTGACTTTGTAAATGGTCCAAGTCGGACCGAAACGTCGTAAGTTCCTTTCTTCTATGTGTGGGTTATTTGTGTACACAGAAGTTTCTTGAACTATGAACTTCAGAGAAGCATCTTGAACTGTGAACTCGACAGAATTATCTTGAATTGTAAACTTGACACAAAGGCTCGTGAACTTAAACTTGATCAATTGGATCGGAGCGGATATTTATCCAAAGACCATTAAGCCAAATTGTTGTAAATGGTAATAGCATTTAGCTCAATGTGTAAAAGGATGTTTGTGTATAGTTCCGTTCATTTATTAAGGAAAACATTTCGCCACTAGTGACTTCCTCTGGACTGATGAAGCCGCTCTTGGCGAAACGTTTATTTTAATAAATATTCTGAACGGCGCACAAGTGTCATTTTCCACATTGAGCCAAATACACAAAATTCCACACAAATCGAAATGTTCTGCCAGTAACAGCTTGTTGTGCAGTGAGTTTTTCACTACTGTCGTCAGTACATTTGGATCCAACTTTATACATTGAATGTTAATCATATCCTGATGTATACACCTTCCCTTCCTTTAATTAAGATATTTCTTTTTATATTTAAAATAGTTTGTAAACATTGTCAGATGAAAGCTATCCTACCTTCTTACGTTCACAATGTGATATCTGGGATCTCTTGGACTTCCTAGTGTCCAATTTGTTCGCCTCTTTCTCAGTATTTTCGACATACGACATAAGTATTGTCTTTGGTGACTGAATAACCTTCTCGTATAGTTAGTTCACTTACGTCGTCGTCTTTCATTGTGTTATAATTTATCTCGCCTTCACTCGGCCTCTTATCATTATGACAATGATATACAATACCGACGAGTAGACGTGCAAGACATGTGCAGCAGTTTGTTATTTGTATTGTTAAGAAGTTGTGCCTACACGGTAGACTCAGTCAACTACAGAGTGAAGTATATAGTAAGACATCAGGAACAGTGGCGAGGTAAATGATGATGATCCAGTTTATCAACTTTGAAAATGTTAATAGACTGATTACATCATCTTTACCTCACCACTTCACTGCTGTCTCTGTATTTGACTGAAGAAATCTACTTACTCATCTACTCCGTCTGGTTAAGCAGGAATGTTGTCGGAAGTTAGGTTACTCTGTGACTTCGCCTGGATGTTTGCGTTATCCTCTGTCCGGCTGTTGTTATTCGTACGATGGAATTATTTAATTTCTCTGAGTGTGAGGCAGAGAAAAATTTCCGATATCTTAAGAACATAAGAAAGAAGGAACACTGCAACAGGCCTACTGGCCTATGCGAGGCAGCTCCAATTCTCCCACCGACTTAAGCCAATGCCTTTATCTAGTGAGGTTAGACACGTCACTTAGGGAGGAGCAGTGCATCCGATCTAGTAGCACAAGCTAGTCAGGTTCAACTCATACCCACTCATGTATTTATCCAACCTATTTTTAAAACTACACAAGGTCTTAGCGTCTATGACGGTACTCAGGAGTTTGTTCCACTCATCCACAACTCTATTACCAATCCAGTGCTTTCCTATATCCATCCTGAATCTGAATTTTTTCAATTTAAAGCCATTGCTGTGAGTCCTGTCTAGGTTAGATATTTTTATCATGCTATTTACATCCCCTTTATTAATTCCTGTTTTCCATTTATTAACCTCAATCATAACCCCCTAATTCTAAGCCTTTCTAGAGAGTGCAAGTTCAGGGCCTTCAGTCTATCCTCATAGGGAAGGTTTCTGTTACATGGGATGAACTCTGTCATCCTCCTTTGTACGTTTCCCAGTGCATTTATATCCATTCTGTAATACGTTGACCAAAACTGTGCAGCATAATCTAAATGAAGGCTAACCAAAGATATGTAGAGTTGAAGAACAACCTGAGGATTTCTATTATTTATACTTCTTGCTATGAAGCCAATGATTCTGCTAGCTTTATTGTGAACACTAATGCACTGCTGTCTTGGTTTTCGATTACTACTAACCAGAACTTCTAAAGCCTTTATGCAATCTGTAATATTAAGATCTACATTATTTAGTTTATATGTGGCATGGTTATTTTCCTGTCCAACATTCAGAACATTGCATTTGTCTATAATAAACTGTATCTGCCACTTCTCCGACCACTGCATCAGTCTATTCAAATCATCCTGGGGTGCTCTAGTGTCCTCATTAGAATGAATTGGATGGCCTATTTTCGTGTCATCAGTAAATTTGCTTATGTCGCTCTTTATTCTCTCATCTTGTCGTTTATGTTGATTGTGAAAAACAAGGTGCCCAACACTGACCCATGTGGAACACCGCTTGTGACGTGCCCCCATTCTGATTTCTCCCCATTTATGCAAATTCTCTGCTGCCTATTCCTCAACCATGCCTCAACCCAGGAAAAAATTTCTCCTCCTATTTCCGTGTGCCTTAAGTTTCCTCACTAGCCTCTGATGTGGAACTCTATCGAACCTTACTGAAGTCCATATACACAATATCATATTCGATACCATAATCTACCTCCTCAAATACCTTAGCGAAGAAAGTTAGTAAATTCATAAGACAGGAACGCCCCCTTGTAAAACCGCGCTGAGATTCATTAATCAATTTATGCCTTTCGAGATGGCTACGAATTGCTTCGGCTATTATTGATTCCATAAATTTTCCCATAGTTCGAAGCTAAGGACCTGTCACCTGCCTTGTAAATAGGTATTACATTTGCCATTTTCCAATTTTCAGGCTCTATGCCAGTTTGTAGTGATATGTTAAAAAGGTATGCTAAGTTCTCTTTACATTCCTTTAACACCCTTGCAAACAGTTCATCAGGGCCTGGGGATTTGTTAGCTTTTAATTTCTCTATTTGTCTGAGGACCATGTCACTAATTACCGCATCGTGCATAGTTTATTATCGTCCTGTTCTACACAATCTATTATTTCTGGACTTTCGCTAGTATCTTCCTGAGTAAAAACTAAGAGGAAGTAAGAATTTAAAATTTCACACATATCCTTATCACTCTCAGTGATCTGACCAGAGTTACTCTTAAGTGGGCCTATCTTGTCCCTAATCTTACTTCTGTATACCTGAAAGAACCCTTTTGGGTTAGTCTTCGAATCCCTTGCGACCTTAGCCTCATAATCCCTTTTTGCTTTTCTTATTCCTTTTTTATTTCTCTCTTTAATTGAATATATTGATTTTTTAACTGCCCCCCTTCTTTTGATACGCCTATATATGCCTCTCTTTTGACCAATGAGATGTTTTAATTTATTGTTCATCCATTTGGGATCATTTTTGTTAGATCTAATTTCCCTACTCGGAACAAAAGTTGTCTGGGCAGCTAGAGCTATGCTCTGAAAGCCGTCATATTGATAACCAACACCACCTACCTGACCCATAGTCAGGACATCCCAATTAGCCGACCCAGGTAAGTTTTCAGTCCAATGAAATCGACCAAGCGAAAGTTTGGGACAGAGATTTGATTGCAGTTATCCGGGTAATTCTATGATATACTGAAACTAAGCGATTTGTGATCACTTTCCCCTAGCTCATCATTATTAACCTCAAGATTATTAATTAGTGATTCTTTGTTGGTAAGAACCAAGTCAAGTAGATTGTTTCCTCTAGTTGGTTCTTTCACAAACTATTTTAAAAAGCAATTCTGAGCCGTATCAAGAAAGTCACTAGACTCAAGATTTCCTGTCACATTGTTCCAATCAAACCCCGTTCCTTGCATTCATATTATGCTTGCCATAGAATATGTTCCAGTTATCAATGAATGGAATTGCAAGGTCCTTGCAGTACCTATCTAGCCAGCAATTTATTCCAATTGTCCACTCCTCTTCTAGGCAAGACGATACATATGAGTGTGATCCCTCACTTTGACCTGACTACATCTATGGCTGACCTATACTTATCCAGGGGCTCCTGTCTCCTACCATTCCCGATGTCATTTCCACCAGCAGTAAAACGGATAATGGGCTTGTTCCCATTGCCTGACATAATATTATCCAACCTGCTGACTATATCACCAACACCAGCTCCTGGGAGACTCACCATCTGTCTGACCTTCCTATCTCTGTTACGAAAAGCACGGGCCATATATCTTACCTGAGAATCCCCCACAATCAGAATATTCTTACCTTGACTCACGAAATCGTAATGACAGGATTGCAAACAAACCATACCACGGGCGGGGATAGAACCCACGATCAGAGAGTCTCAAAGCTCCAGACCGTCGCGTTAGCCACTGGACCAGCTAGCCACAATAAGATTCGTCCAACTAGGTATATTTCTAGGTATATTCCTATGGTGTAGAAATATTCCTAGTTGGACGAATCTTATTGTGGTTAGCTGGTCCAGTGGCTAACGCGACGGTCTGGAGTTTAGAGACTCTCTGATCGCGGGTTCTATCCCCGCCCGTGGTATGGTTTATTCTTACCTTGTTAAGCAGGGGAGTTAGTGGTACCTTTAGTCACACTAACCACTAAAATGCATTCGTCCTGGAGAACAGAGAATCGATTTCCTACCTTCACATCTTCTCTATTAACCTCCCTTGTCATCCTTCTTCCTGAATTGTGAACCACTTGCCACTTAAAGCAGCTGCCACTCTCCAAATCACTGCTGGTAACATTTTCCTCCTCACCAGCTACAACCATCTCACACTCGCTCCCAAACTCATCTAGACGAAGCTTCAGCCTCCTATTTTTCTTCTGAAGAAGTAGAATCTCCTTTTCAACACTTTAACCTAAAATTTTAAAGCATTACAACAAGGCAGGGTGCTAGGTAACACCCCACGCTAATCCCAGACAGGATATCTTGTGGCATCTTCTAGACTATTACTAGATATACTTGCACTGTGGATTAAATGTACATTCATTATCAGGTCAAGGTCATAAACCAGTCTACTTGATAATCGCTTAATTTCCCGACCAACTCAACACAGAAATAAATCTAACCCGCTTTGCTTAAACTTTAAATCAATATTTCTTTAATAGTGTATTATGTTCTAGCTAACCCTCCTGGATCAAAGGAATTCTTGTTAACCTTACATACTAACATCTCTTTGTTTAGCAGGTGAGTGTTGGCCTTTGTAATACACTTGTGGATCAATCTTGTTAACCTGCACCATCTTAGTTACTCACCTCTCCTTGTTCAGCAGGTGAGTGTTGGCCTCTATAATACACTTGTGGATCACACTGAAAGAATCACTGAAGTTGGTTGCCCTGCAACATATGTTCTCGGCAGTGAGGTTTGCGTGGTACTTGTAGCAGCTTTTGTCATAGACTGGGTGGTGTTCCTTAGTCTTTTGTTGTGGTGGTGCTGGTGTTTGTGATAATGGTAGTGGTGCTTGTGGTTTTAATAATGATGCTAATGGTGGTAAGTGTAAGCGTGGCAGCAAGTAAGGACTCAGGAGCAGCAAGACAAGCGCAGTCATCAGCACCAGCCTCAACATTAACACTTGTATCTGCCTCATCTTCGCCATCCTTGTTTACACTGTAACCTGGCGAGCAATAAGAAATACTGTAGTTCGTTGTTGCAAAACTATGTTATAATAATTATATGGAACACATACATACCTAATACACAACCAAAAATACAATGAAGTGAAGCTCAGGAACAAGAGAGCATCGGAAATAATAGAGCTGTTGAAATATCTGGCTATGTCGCTAAGGTACTATGTACTCTGATGCTAAGTTTGCAGGTTCGAATCCTGTATTTATATATATAACAACACTGCACAAGCCAAGGATTCGAACCCACGTTGTACTGGCCTGCCTCATGGTAAGCGAGAACCAAATGACGCTTTAAACTACAGGACCACCCAACCCTAGGGTTGGGTGGTCTCATGGTTTAAAGCGTCATGTGGTTCTTGCTTACCATGAGGCAGGACAGTACAACATGGGTTCGAATCCTTGGCTAGCGCAGTGTTGTTATTGATCAATTCCACTCGTTCGGGGGTTTACAATAATATATATATATATATATATATATATATATATATATATATATTATATATATATATATATATGTATATATATATATATACATATATATATATATATATATATATATATATATATTATATATATATATATATATATATATTATATATATATATATATATATAATATGTATCTGAGAGAGTTAGAGCAAAGGAAGGGGTAGCAGTAATGTTGAATGATCAGTAGTGGAAGGAGAAAAGAGAATATGAATGTGTAAATTCAAGAATTATGTGGATTAAAGTAAAGGTTGGATGCGAGAAGTGGGTCATAATAAGCGTGTATGCCCTGGAGAAGAGAGGAATGCAGAGGAGAGAGAGAGATTTTGGGAGATGTTAAGTGAATGTATAGGAGCTTTGAACAAGTGAGAGAGTAATTGTGGTAGGGGACCTGAATTCTAAAGTAGGAGAAACTTTTAGAGAGGGTGTGGTAGGTAAGTTTGGGGTACCAGGTGTAAATGTTAATGGGAGCCCTTTGATTGAACTTTGTATAGAAAGGGGTTTAGTTATAGGTAATACATATTTTAAGAAAAGGAGGATAAATAAGTATACAAGATATGATGTAGGGCGAAATGACAGTAGTTTGTTGGATTATGTATTGGTAGATAAAAGACTGTTGAGTAGACTTCAGGATGTACATGTTCATAGAGGGGCCACAGATATATCAGATCACTTTCTAGTTGTAGCTACACTGAGAGTTAAAGGTAGATGGGATACAAGAGAATAGAAGCATCAGGGAAGAGAGAGGTGTGAAGGTTTATAAACTAAAGAGGAGGCAGTTAGGGTAAGATATAAACAGCTATTGGAGGATAGATGGGCTAATGAGAGCATAGGCAATGGGGTCGAAGAGGTATGGGGTAGGTTTAAAAATGTAGTGTTAGAGTGTTTCAGCAGAAGTTTTTGGTTACAGGAAAGTGGGTGTGGGAGGGAAGAGAAGCGATTGGTGGAATGATGATGTAAAGAGAGTAGAAAGGGAGAAAAAGTTAGCATATGAGAAGTTTTTACAAAGTAGAAGTGATGTAAGGAGGGAAGAGTATATGGAGAAAAAAGAGAGAGGTTAAGAGAGTGGTGTAAGCAATGTAAAAAGAGAGCAAATGAGAGAGAACAATGGATTTGTCAGTTAAAAATAGGAGAGGAGAGTTATTAAATGGAGAGTTAGAGGTATTCGGAAGATGGAGGGAATATTTTGAGGAATTGTTAAATGTTGATGAAGATAGGGAAGGTGTGATTTCGTGTATAGGGCAAGGAGGAACAACATCTTGTAGGGAGTGAGGAAGAGCCAGTTGTGAGTGTGGGGGAAGTTCGTGAGGCAGTAGGTAAAATGAAAGGGGGTAAGGCAGCCGGGATTGATGGGATAAAGATAGAAATGTTAAAAGCAGGTGGGGATATAGTTTTGGAGATGGTTGGTGCAATTATTTAATAAATGTATGGAAGAGGGTAAGGTACCTAGGGATTGGCAGAGAGCATGCATAGTTCCTTTGTATAAAGGCAAAGGGGATAAAAGAGAGTGCAAAAATTATAGGGGGATAAGTCTGTTGAGTATACCTGGCAAAGTGTATGGTAGAGTTATTATTGAAAGAATTAAGAGTAAGACGGAGAATAGGATAGCAGATGAACAAGGAGGATTTAGGAAAGGTAGGGGGTGTGTGGAACCAGGTGTTTACAGTGAAACATATAAGTGAACAGTATTTAGATAAGGCTAAAGAGGTTCATGTGGCATTTAAGGATTTGGAAAATCCATAAATAGCTGTTTATATCTTTCCCTAACTGCCTCCTCTTTTAGTTTATAAACCTTCTATTCTCTTGTATCCCATTACCTTTTACTCTCAATGTAGCTACAACTAAAAAGTGAACTGATATATCTGTGGCCCTCTATAAACATGTACATCCTGAAGTCTACTTAACAGTCTTTTATCTACCAATACATAATCCAACAAACTACTGTCATTTCGCCATACATCATATCTTGTATACTTATTTATCCTCTTTTTCTTAAAATATGTATTACCTATAACTAAACCCCTTTCTATACAAAGTTCAATCAAAGGGCTCCCATTTATCATTTACACCTGGCACCCCAAACTTACCTACCACACCCTCTCTAAAAGTTTCTCCTACTTTAGCATTCAGGTCCCCTACCACAATTACTCTCTCACTTGGTTCAAGGCTCCTATACATTCATTAACATCTCCCAAAATCTCTCTCTCTCTCCTCTGCATTCCTCTCTTCACCAGGTGCATACACGCTTATAATGACCCACTTTTCGCGTTTCCTTTGGTTTTGGGGCTATACATGTTTGATTATGAGTAAAAGGAAGTCTTTAAACACCTGAATCTCTAGCTTCTATCATAGGGCTTCACAAAGCTGGGTACCCGACGTCAGAAATAGTGGAGAATGTGTGTGTGGCTTTTCATTGAGGAACTGGGTGTAGCGTTTCGAGGCTGCTGGCGGTGTCGAGTTACCATCTGCCAAACCCCCATCTGGCCCCTCAAAAAAGGCAAACTGTTCGTACTCTAGCTGTTTTTTTAAAAAAGTAGTTAGAGAGTAACTGCTTATATAACTGTAAGGTAATGAACTGGACAGTCCATGAAGCTGGAACAAATAAATAAATGATTATATATATACATACATACATACTTTACATATTTAATATATATACATATATACATATATATATATACATATATATTATATATGTATATATATATACATATATATGATATATATATAAAATATATATTATATATATATATGAAATATTTTATTACATATATATATATGTTATATATTATACATATATATATGTAAAATATATGTATATAATATATACATAATATATATACATATATATATATATGTATATATATACATATATACATATATATATATATATTGTATATATATATATATACATATATATACATATATATATATACATATATATATATATATATATATATATATATAATATATATATATATTATATATATATATATATATATATATATATATACATATATATATATATATATATATAATATATATATATATATATATATATATTATATATATATATGCAATAAGATCACAGTAAACAGGTGATTTCAGAATATGCAAAACAACCACTCTGAAAGAATAGAGAAATTCCAAGTTCCTTGATAATGTGAGTAGTCACGAAAGCGCTTGGAATTTCTCTATTCTTTCAGAGTGGTTGTTTTGCATATATATATATATATATATATATATAATATATATATATATATATATATATATATATATATATATATAATATATATATATATATATATATATAACATATATATATATATATATATGTTATAATTATATATATATATATATAATTTAATATATATATATATATATATATATATATATATATATATATATATATATATATATATATATACATTTTTATATTATTATCACACTGGCCGATTCCCACCAAGGCAGGGTGGCCGAAAAAGAAAAACGTTCACCATCATTCACTCCATCACTCTCTTGCCAGAAGGTGCTTTACACTACAGTTTTTAAACTGCAACATTAACACCCCTCCTTCAGAGTGCAGGCACTGTACTTCCCATCTCCAGGACTCAAGTCCGGCCTGCCGGTTTATATATATATATATATATATATATATATATATATATATATATATATATATATATATATATATATATATATATATATATATATATATATATATTAATATATATATATATTACATTATATAATATATATATATATATATATATATATATATATATATATATATATATACATATATATATATATATATAATATATATATATATATATATATATATATATATATATTATATATATATATATATATATATATATATATATATATATACTATATATATGTCGTGCGAATAGGCAGAACTTGCGATCTAGGCTTAAATAGCAACGCTCATCTTGCCATATAGGACAAGCGAAAATTTGTGTATGCAATAATTTCGCCAAAATCATTCTGAAACCTAAAAAAAAAAAAATTTTCCCCTGTTGTTCTTAGTATTAAATTATTGTAAAACAAATCTAAAAAATATTTAGTTAGGTTTGACAAAAAAGAAAAAAATATATCTTTAAACATATAAGAGAATTTTTTAAAATTTCACCATCTTAGTTACCCCAACCTCTCCTTGTTCAGGGGTGAGTTTTGGTCTTGTAAACACTTGGGATCAATCCTTGTTAACCTGCCCCATCTTAGTTCCCTCACCTCCCCTTTTCAGCGGGTAAATTTTTGGGGCCTCTATAATAACTTGGGGAAACACACTGAAAAAATTTCATAAAGGGTTGGTTCCCTCCCAAACCAAAAGTTCCCCGGCAGGAGGTTTGGGGGGTTTTTACTTGTGCAGTTTTTGTCGGGACGGGTGGTTTTTCCCCTTATTCTTTTGTTTGTGGTGGTGTTTGGGTGTTTGTGTTTAAGGGTAGTGGGCTTGTGGTTTTAAAATAAAGCAA